GACAAAAATGAAGACGTATGTTGTCGGAAGTTTATCTGTTAAATCATGGGTTCCCAAACTTTCTCAACACAAGGTCTCAAAAGTTTCTACATTTTGGCTGTAGTTTTGCAACTACCCAATGAATTAATACATACTGAGTAACAGTACTGTGTATTTGCTATGATCCCTCCAAGAAACTTTCTTGCAGCTTATGTTCCGAGAACAGACTAAACAACTACTGGACTTTTGGAAGGATCACAAACTACTAGTTAGTTTTTAAGGTTTATGTTTCACTTTCTTAACTAGTCATTCTGTGTAGCTAGTGCGCGCTTTTCTACAAATTGATATAATACATTGGCTTAGTTCTGGGGATGTTTTTATTTTAGTTTGAATATCTCTGTTTAGTTTTAACTATCTACCACTAGCTCTTAAGCCGCTCTTGTCTAGCCGAATACTGGGACTTGACCATCATTATTATAGCACCATTACAACCTGAAAGAGCGAATTACTTTTTACGACAATGGTAGATCAAGGCACTTCGCTTAGTGGATCTCAAACTACTAAGTAAAGTTTCACTTCATGGTAGATCAAGACACTTCACATGGTAGATTAGGGCACTTCACTTGGTTGATCTCAAACTACTAATTAAAGCTACACTTCATGGTAGATCAAGGCACTTCACATGGTGGATCTCAAACTACTAAGTAAAGCTAGACTTGATGACAGATCAAGTCACTTAATTTGAAGGATATCAACCTAATAACTACTACTATAGTTTATGAAAGACCAAGGCACTTAGTAAGCATCGTCCTAACCTTATGCCAAATTTGTGACAGACGTCATGTTAGATATCGGCATCAATTGAAGGCATAGGATGGCTCTATGGTAGAGTTCTGAATTTCAGAGTTGGCGAGCTGGGTTCGAATCTGTGCGATATCGTATAATATTCTCCGCACTTTAAGCTGTGATTCGTTAATAAAATAGTAGCCCAAGAGTTGGCGGTTGGTGGTGATAACTAGCTGCCTTCCCTCTAGTCTTTCACTGCTACATTAGGGACGTCTAGCGCAGATGGCCCACGTGTAGCTTTGCGCGAAATTCAAAACAAATCAAACTGTAAGCTGTGGATGTGTTAAGAGAGCAATATTCATTCCCTTAGCATGTGTAGTAAATTGCTGCTGAATGGCTGCGTTCTCTCTGGCCAGTAGTTCAAAATTAGGGACGACAGCAGATAAATCGCTTTAGTAGCTTTGCCATGAATACAAATACAGTATCAGTGAGTCGTGTCGTTTTGTAATATTGAATACTGTACAGAAATTTAATAAAGAAATTATGAGGAATATATATCGTAAGAACACCTGATTACCTACCTGTTCTTGATATCGGTCTTTCAGTGTGTTTTCAAATAATTAGTAGTCAACATATAGAAGTATAGTTACCGAAAGCAGTAATATCCAAAGATTCCAAATATCCCAAAAGACCCATGAAAATGAAATATGTTGATATGGCAATGGTCTCATTAATAAAACAGAAAATATCAGTTAAATTAGGGATCCCGTTAACAAACACACTATGAAAGACATTGTAACTAGTAGTTAGCAGGTTGCATTAACAATCAGTGAAGGAAACAATAAAAAAAAACATAACTTTTGGAAATACAGCAAAAAAAAACAATTTAATTTAAAAAGACGTGATTAATAGTCTTTGTTAAAATTATACTAGACTTGTTTGTTTTGGAATTTCGCGCAAAGCTACACGAGGGCTATCTGCGCTAGC